CCCCCCATCACATCCTTCACTTACCATCCCCATTATTCATCCTTCCACCATCTCCCCCCTCCCCATTATTCCTCCCCCTTGCTAACCCTCCATTAGTTATCTCCTCCCCCATCCCTGTTATTTCCCACCACCCTTTATATCCCCCCCCATCCCCCTCATTCCTCCCCTCATTATTCCCTGTTCTTTAGCCCTTACCATACTCCATCACCTCCCCATCCCTGTTATGCTCCCACCATCCCTTCTATCCCCTCCACTTCCCTACCCCACCCCATGGCTCTTTCCTCCCCCTCCATTACCCTCTCTTCCTTATTCCCTCTCCATTACCCTTCCTATTATCCTCTATCCTTCCCCATTACCCCCCCCCCCCCCCCAGCCCCCTTATTCCTCTCTGTTGCTCTCCCATCCCTGTTATATTCCCTGTTATCCCCCCCACCCCTGATTGCACACCAGAATCCCAACATTATCAGCCCTCCCTTTCTGGGGCTGCTGGTTCTCCTCTCCAGGAGTCAGAGAGCCCATTTTTGTGACAGGGAGATGTCGAGGACCCACCTCCTCCTGCTTGGCCTTCAGAGACACCAGCAACTGGTGCCTGCCTTTGGGGAGCAGAGTCACACAGAATGGCTTAGGCTAGAAGGGACCTTAAAGCCTATCCAGCCCCTGCCAAGTGTAGGGACACCTCCCACCACATCAGGCTGCCCAAAACCCACCCAGCCTTTCCCTGAGCACCTCTAGGGATGGGGCAGGTTACACCAGGGCCTTTTTTTGTTGCAGGGTGCCAAGGCATTGGCTCTTTCCTTGATGACCAACACCTCTGTCGTCTCGTTAGACCTGGGTGACAATTGGCTGCAGGGAGAAGGAGCAGCTGCCATTGCAGAAATGCTGAAAGAAAACCACTCCATTTCAGGTTTGTGTCATCCTTCCTGCAGTTCTGTGGTGGCAGCTTTGCTGTAGAGGAAGAAATTGTGCTGTTTTCTTTGTGGTTTTAACCAATCCCCCTCTTACAGCAGCTCTGAGGCCTCTCCAGAGGCCAGAACTTTGTGTAAGCCAAACTGGTTGCAGCCCTGGAGGATGTATGTTATTCACCAAGAACGAGGTCAGCGTAGACAGCTGAGAATAGAACACAGCTTTCAGCTGAGGCTGCCCTAATCTGCTTTGTCAGGGCACCACAGATGGAAGAGTCAAGTTTGGTGCTGTGAAACACACAAAAAAATGGGATCTTATTTTCCTTCTCTAGTGGTTGAATTCTGTAGTAGGTGTTTAGGGTTCTATCAATTCTGTGCTGGAGAAATTCATTCTACACAGGTGGGCAGAGGAATTCAGGCTTCTGTTTTCTATGTTGAAATACAGCGTTAGAACAGTTTAGACTTCTTACATTCTGAGTCTGGCAGTGCTTCTCTCATCACAGCGTGGAGGCACCTCCTTGGCATCTGCCATGATATCATCTGATGATCTGATAATGCTTTTTCCTTCCCCAGCTGTCGATTTATCTGACAACAAAATGGGCATTGAAGGAGCTAAGGCCATTTCTGCTATGCTTCTAGAAAATACTACAGTTGTGGTCCTCCAGCTCTCTGGAAATGAGTTTGATGACCATGCAGCCAAGTATTTAGCAGATGCCATCACAGCAAACAGCAAAGTGGGAGTTCTGGATCTGAGTTATAACAAGTTTGGTGAGAAAGCAGGTAAAGTGCTGTCTGCATGCCTTGCATAGAGAGCAGTGTTGCAGGAGTTCCCAGTGCAGCTTGATGAGCTGCTTGCTTGCCTCAGGCCATTGGGGAGCACTTCTGCAGAACGTCCCTTGTGATGTCAGTGCCAATCCTTAACTCTTCATCTTTTACACTCACTTACTTCAGTTTGCTTCACAAGAGATGGATAAGCAACCTCTGCTTCTCCTCTGCTTCTCCTCTGCTTCTCCTCTGCTTCTCCT